GTCCTGGAGCCGAGGACACAAAGTCCCTCCATGCCCTTGTGGAAGGAGGACAGGAAGGTCGGACCCACCCGCAGCAAGTCTCAGGTCCCAGATCACAATTTGTGGTGGGTGGCATCACACCACAACTCCCAAAAAATGCTGAACAGAAAAGCCCATGTCCTCAGCCAAAAACTCCCCATCCCCACAAAAACTCCACTGGAATGCCAAGAGACTTCCTTTTGTGTCTTGATGGCTAACTGTTCACCCAAAAAGCCACCCCCTACCCCTTCCAACGTCTCCCTGATAACAAAAGGAAGAAATTCACTGAGAAACCTAAAAACCCTCAACAGTCCTCAAAATTATCTGAGACCTTAATTTGCTAGAACGGACTCACAACCCAAGCTGTGTGATCCAAAGGTGAGATGTCTTGCCTAAGCCAAGCATCCAGCCCCAATTTTCAGTCAGCAAGATGGTGACTTCTGCTTGAGGACCGTGGTAAAAATAGATATTGTCAAGCTTATGCTTACACTTTCCCCATTTCACCTTCCTCATCTGAGATTACCAAAGCACCATGGATGTATGAGGGAGGATGGGATGAGACTGGTGTGAAACAGCAGTGATGTCCATTCTCTTGGCATGGGGACAGAATTTGTTTTTTCTGTTAAACTGGGTGTATCCTTCATTGTAAAGACGCACTGATAAATGATGAGCAATTGAAAATGGAGATAGGGTTTGGGCAGCAGCAGACAGATTACTGACTGCTTTTTGAACATAGCATAGATAAATCAGTCCACTGCATCCAAAATCACTCTGTAGGCAACATCAACACAGCAGGCATCACAGGTTATCTATTCAGACATACTCTAGCTCAAACAGATTAATTTTAAACTTTTTGGTATATTTTCCATATTATAATGCAGCTGAGCTCAGTCATGTATTGGAATGGAAGAATCATAGATTTGTTTAGGTCATAAAAGCCCTCTGAGACCATCAAGTCCAACCATTACCCCAGCACTGCCAAGGCCACCACTAAACCATGTTTCAAAGTGCCACACCTACATGATTTTGAAACAGTTCCAGGCACACTGAAGGACTATAATAAGAGTATATTTAAAAATAAATAAATAAATAAACAAACAAACAAACAGATTAGAATATGTTTAAAATGCCAGGAAATTAAGCAGAAATATTTCCCTGGGCAATGCATTGGATCCTGACTTGATTTCTCACTCATCCCACTCTTCAAAACGTTCAAGCTCATTTGGGTCCTGCCTAACTGATTCTCAAATCATTAATTAAATTGCAGTCAGTTCCAAGGGGGATAAATCCAGCACCACAGTGGTACTTGTGTAGGGGTGGTATCAGCAGAAGGTGCGTCCTGCACACACTGCAGTGGCCTGGCTCAGCTCAGCACTGGCAGGCTCCAGGTACTGCAGCACACTGCAGATTCACACTGCCCAGAAAACAGATGCTCATCCCAACCTCTCTATGCTTCCACGACAGCAAACATGCACAGGGATCCCTTAAAAGCAGTGTTTAAAGCTGTTTCCTAAAATAAGACAGCAGGCAGCACTTGCTGCCTCCAAGCACTTGACCATGCTAAGTTTGCTGCTGGGATCTGGTAGGATTAGGAGTCATACTTAATCTTCCCAGAACGCCTAATTCTCCAGGGCTTAACAAATTCTGTCTGTACACAAGTACAGTCCAGAGTCCTGGATATCAACCCAGCCCTTGTCCCCAGATGTCACTTCCTTGTGTCCCTTGTGATGGGACTTTGGGCAAGTGAGGTTGTTCAGCCTGAGGAAGAAAAGGTGAGACCTTAGAACCCCTGCCAGTGGCTTTAGCCCTCTGCTAAAGGGGCTCAAAGAGAGCTGGAGACGGATTTTGGACAAGGGCCTGGAGGAACAGGACAATGGGAAATGGCTTCCACTGACGGAGAACAGGGTGAGATGGGATATTGGGCAGAAATTCTTGGCAGTGAGGATGCTGAAGCACTGGCACAGGTTGCCCAGAGAAGCTGTGGCTGTCCCATCCCTGGAAGTTTTCAAGACCAAGCTGATCAGGGTTTGGAGCAACCTGGTGTAGTGGAAGGTGTCCCTGCCCATAGTAGGGGGGTTAGAATTGCATGATCATTGAGGTCTCTTCCAACCCAAAACATTTCATGATTCCATAATTCTATGACTGAGAAAATATTTTGGAGAAATAGTATTATGTGATTGCTTGGTTATAATGCTCTCTATATTAAATATCTTTTAAATTTTTCTGCAGTCCTTTTGTGTTACTTCCTCCGTTATCTCCCAGAGAAGTGGGGAGGAAGGCTTCATGGAGCCCTCCGGGCCCTCACCCAGGGAGGTACAGCCAAACCCCATACCATGCTCCCTCTACTGGTGTTAGTGTCCTCCTGCCCGGAAGGACACACACGGAACACAGCGAGGCGTTCAGGAGTGGGGTTCCATGATCTTTAGAAAGGGACAGGAGACGGGTCATTGCTGGGCTGATCTGGCACCTAAATTTCAGCAGAGAGGCTGGTCCAGCACTTCACTAAGTGGTGGCTTACAGCCACAAATAATTTACAGAATATATCCTGCATATAATTACTGCAGTTGCATAAATAATTTAATTACTTTATGGTTTGGGTTGCAATGTGATAAATAACATAGAGAATAGAAATTTTCAGTTCCTTAGAAGTTGCTGAATAGAGCTTAAAGACTAACTACAAACAAAGATAAAAGGATGTAAAGGTATGCACACTGGATGATAAATGTTGCTTACCAGTAGAAGAACAGATAAAGAGGGCTACAGTGGTTTTTTTGCAAGTTAGGTAACAAGAAGCAACAGCACATGCCCAAAGAAAAAGTTCAAGGAGAGGTCATATTTAAAATTGAAATATTCACTGAATAGGATCACCAGAGATCCCTTTAGAGGACCTTCAAGGATCATAAAATTATTTCTAGTAGGAGGAAGTTGCATGCAAATTAGTTCTAGGAAGAGTGATGTTTATGTATTAGCTAGGAAACACACTTTAATGAATATATATGATTATAATGTAGTAAAGCCTCACCACACACATTGGATTAAACAAGACATCCTTGCAATGTGTCCTGCACAGGTAAAGAATGCCTGCCTTCTAACACTTCAAATTGCGTTAGAAAGTTTATTTTCTGGCTGATTTCAGTATCAAAGGGACCTTAAAATTCCACTCCCTGCCATGGGAATGGACACCTTCCACTAGACTGGGTTGCTCCAAGCCCCGTCCAACCTGGCCCTGGACTCTTTCAGGGATGGGGCAGCCACAGCTGCTCTGGGCAACCTGTGCCACAGCCTCACCACCCTCACAGCCAAGAATTTTTTTCCTGATATCCCATCTAAATCTACCCTCTTAGAGTTTGAAACCATTCCCCCTTGTTTCATCACTATAGTTCCTGATGAACAGTGTCTCTCCATCTTCCCTGTAGGGCCCCTCAGATGCTGGAAGGTGCTGTGTGGTGTCCTCACAACGTTCTCCAGGGTAAACAGCCCCAACTTTCTCAGCTATCTCCAGTGGCAGGTGCTCCAGTCCCCTCACTGACTTTGTGGCCTCCTCTGGACTTGCCCCAGAAGTGCCGTTTAACCTTCTTAAGATGGAGGCTCCAGAACTGTGCACAGTATTCCGGGTGTGATCTCATGAGAACAGAAAAGAGGGTTATTTCTGTTTGAGCAGCAAAGCTGATGGGCATGTCATCTCTGGTCCTCACTTTGCTCTGGCCCCCCTTAATCCTTATCCCAGGCCCTACTCCACTCAGGATGGACTCATCCCAGGCCCTACTCTATGCAGGATGGACACTTAGGCTGGGTTCTTATTTTTTCCTTTAGGCTAGTGTGTTCTTTGGCTTTTTGAGCTCCCAACTTCTTTATCCTGGACTGCAGCACTCAGCTTCTGACTCCAGGTGATCTCTGACCAACTGGGTGCATCCCATCTGAGTTCTCTCAACAGGCAATGTATTCCTAAAAGAATTATCTTAGAAATTCCAATTGTCTGGTCTATCCTTGAAGCTCTCTTCCTTGCACAACCCATCAGCTCTTCTCCTGCATTGTTCAGATTTGTTCCAACTTGTGACAGGTCTGAGGCAGGATTGCTGCTGCTCCATGTAGGAAAGACATTCTGTGCTGTTCTTGTGAGCTTGCAAAGGCCTTCTGAAGATAAGAAAAGTCCTGTATCTCACCAATGTTGTCACCATGGAGACATGATGAAGGAGAGAAAGTCAAGAGATACGGACTCTAGCTCAGTGGGCTCCCTGATCACCCACTGAGAACTTTGTTTCTTTCTTATAACCAGTAGACAGTGAATGTGTATGTTGAGTGAATGTAAATATCTTGAAAGAGTATAAAAGTAACATGTTGCTATAATAAATCTCTCTTGCACGCTTCTGAGGGAGTTGTGGTACTTTGTGCTGTGTCATGCTCTGTAACAACAGCTCCATGCATCCATACCATGACAAGGGGACACCAGATAAAAGAATAAGGGCAAAGGCCAGCCACACACATTAAGTAAATCAGGGACTGTCACAGAAGTCCTTCTCAAGAGAACAGCAGTTCTCTGAGACTGCCCAGTTCACCCCCAGCTTTACCCATCCATCCCCCTCCTCAGCAAAATGGGATACTGACATTGCAGACCATCCAAGAACTCTTGGATTTTGGTTAAAACTTGGCCCTATGCCCACTGGGTAAATTCTGAGCAACCTGAAGGGCAGGAATGTTGCAATATAGACATGGAAAACGAAGGTGAGATTTCCCTAGCAGCTGGAATGCAGCAAGATTAAATAGGTATGGAAAAGCCAGGTGATTGAAGCATGTGGTTTGTAAAAATGGTAATCCCCGTTTGTTACTGTGTCTTTGAATAATGTGGGAGCTGGGAAGATTATCCTACAACACCAAGCTCCCAGAACCCCATGCCATGACTGCTGGCCCCAGACTGTGTCCAGACTCCAAGGACAAAGCTGGTCCCTGGAACGCCGAAGAGCCGATGGACTGGTGGCACTTACCGTGACGGGGAAATAGTCCCTCATGTACCTCCAAACGGCGCAGTTCCGGAAGACATGGATCCGCCGCCCGCCCTTGCTGGGCTTCTCCCTGTCTATGAACCACCATGCAGCATAGAGGGCACTGACCAGCCAAAAACGAGTGAAGAGGAGGGCGATGAAGACGGCAGTGGAGCACTGTGCTGAAAGAAAAGCCAGCAGTGACTTGATAGTTGGATTAGGTGGACTTTGGGAGGAATGGTTCATCTGGAGAGGCATTTTGGTCCTGGGATGGAGCCTCCACTGGGCTTGCTGCTGAATTTGTCAGTGTGAGGGCACCTCTGATGCAGATGTGGTTTCTTTTCTGTCTGCCCCAGGGACATGAAAAGACACCAAGCACCTCCCTTGTAACAACCACCAATTTCTCCAAAGGCCACCACGTCCCTCTCTTCCCAAAATGCTGATGAATCTCACTCCATTCACAGTGTTCTTATGGATCAGCTCTCTATCCCTCTGCTGTCTTGCTTTTCTTTGGAGTCAGACTGATCTTTGCAACAATAATGGCCTTGTTTTACCCCAAAACTACTGTTAATACCCCCTGATGACACCTGATATTTTGCAATGGCAGCAAAAAGGGTTCTGTGTCCAGTCTGTACAGTCCCCAATAGCTTTATCTTGAGCTAATGATTCTCCATTTTAATTGTGTCCATGGTATATACCCATAGATAAGATTTTACTCTTTAGTGAGTTTTTTGTTATTGATTTTGGACCCTTTCTTCCACATCTAATCTTGGGCTCCACAGGATTTTCAGTTCTTTCAACTTGGTGTCATAATGGATTTTATAAGAATGCTCTATTTCATTCTCTATGACTTCCATGACTTGGGACTTTGTCCAGTGTTTGGGACTTGGGACTTTGGCCAGGTTTGACCTCTACCTCCTACCTCCCTTATGCCTCCCTTTGGCATAGAAACAAGAGAACAAAAGCATTTGTGCAAACCAACAACGCTGTGTGTCTGCAGACACTGGGAAGTGATGATGGCCACCAAGCTGCCACCTGGCAAAGCAGATGTGTGCCCGGGAAGAGCTGTGTCCTCTCCATCTGTCCCTCTGGAACCCTTGGTATTGCTTTTGAAGGGAAAGACTGAGCTGAAGAAAACCCAGAGATTTGTCCAAGTCCTTTGCCTTCCCCAGCTCGTGGATTACCTTATGTTTTGTATATTTTGTTCTACTTTGGGTCTTCATTTCAGATCTTCCACCCAGGGCTGGAAAATATGAGGATGAAGATGCCCTGCTCAGCTTCAGCTTCAGCTGTGATATAGATGCATCCACACCCTCATGCTCTGAGACATCTTGTCCACCTTTGGGAGCCACCCGATACCTGCTCTCTCCACCTCCTCTCAGCTAAGGCCTGTCAGAGACATGGAATATGATGCTCTCATCTAAGACCTTCATGTATCTCCTTGTTTGCTTTCACTTAAGGATAAATCAGTAGATCATGTCTGTAGCATCTTTTTCGTGATAAGTCACCCTGATTACAAAACTTTGCATGAAAAAGCAAATCCTTGTCCTTTTTTAGAACACTCTCATGATGGTACCAATAATTCCTATGGGGGAAAAAAGTGCAATAATCTAACAGGATCCTAAATCCCCTTAAAGCTGAAATGGGATTGCGTGTAGCAAGCACCTGGGTAGGCTCTAAGAATTTTACAGCGGGAAAAACTGCAGCTCTTGGCAAAGCAGGAGGTTGAACCTGTACTGCATCACACAGGTCAGAAAGAACCACTGCTCACACCTGGTGCCACACTTTTAATGGAATCATAACAGTCCCCTCAAATCTGGCCTTGGACACTTCCAAGGATGTGGCAGTCACAGTTTCTCTGGGCAACCTGTGCCAGGGCCTCACCACCATCACAGCCAAGAATTTCTTCCCAATATCCCATCTAACCCTGCGCTCTGGCAGTGTGAAACCATTCCCATTGTCCTGTCCCTCCAGACCCTTGTCCAAAGTCCCTCTCCAGCTCCCTTGGAGGCCCTATAGCACTGGAAGAGACTCTAAGGTCTGCCCAGAGCCTTCCCTTCTCCAAGCTGAACACCCCAGCTCTCCCAGCCTGTCTCCAGAGCAGAGGGGCTCTAGCCCTTGGAGCATCTCCAAGGCCTCCTCTGGATCTGCTCCAATTGGAGTCTCAGAAAAGTGGAATGGAGTGAGAGAATCCCCTCCCTCAACCTGCTGCTCACGCTTCGTTTCCAAACACCACAGACACAGACTTTGTAACTCTCAAGAACTGCATAGAACATGAGCTGCAGCTCCAGGGTCCACATGATAAACAAACACAATTTTACTCCACCTAGGAGCCAGGTCATCAGGTCTGCTGCGAAACTACAGTGCCTAATTCTCCTTTTATCATAGTGTGCAAAGCTCAAAGTACATTCTGCAAAGTGAAGGAGTAGTTCTGGATGAAATCCATGCTTTATCTCACAATTATATAATTATTAATTTCTTCCTCAATTAATTTGCAATTCAATTTTTTTTTCCCCAGAGCAAAATTTGCACTTGTGACCTCCACTGAATTTCAAGATTTGGGGGATTTTTGTCCTTTTGAAACCTTTTGGTGCTCTATGGGAAAGGGCCCCATTCCTGTCTGAGAATGGACTGCCAGTCTGAACATTACTGTGGATGGCACCAAAGAGATAGGAACATTCCAGAAAATGTAGAGTTATATCTGCATCCAAACAAATTCCAGCCTTAGGCAGGCATCTGATTATTTATGGTCTGTAATTTGGTGAGGAAGAACAACTCCTTACCACTGTCTGGACACCAACACTTTGTGGGGCACCAGTGGATGGAAATTTTCCACAGAGCTCTATTAGTGTGTTCCAAAAGTCATGTCAGGTCCCCAGACTAAGTCCACCACCACTGGTCCCACTGCTCAGAAAAAATGGGCAGGTTTGAGTTGCAAACAGGTTTGAAGTTGGAAACAGACATGTTCCTCATCTCCTCCTTCTGCAGGTCTGGATATATCTCCTCCAGAACTTTAATATTTACACAAAAAATTTTGAAAGCAAATCAAATCACATCAAATTTGATCCCTTACCGTCCTGAAACAGCCTTGGAACTCCAAGAATTAGAGTTCCTGGGTTCTGTGAAATTGGATTTTTGTGTCGATTTTAAATGCACAGACAGGAATCAGTCTAAAAATGTTTCTCCCTATCACCCTGTGTAAAAGAATCAAACCTTTTACTGCAATTATACTTTTGGCAGCCTTTCTAAATCCAGTAATGCCTCTGCCCCTGCTGCCATCAGGAATGTTTTAGTTTATAAAGATAAAGCCTGAGCCTTTTAGGGTTGGAGTTTTTTAACTAAAATATTATTTTTAGGATAGGTATGTATGTGATAATTTTGATAATAATTGTATTAATTATGATGTCTTCTGATTTGTGCATAGATTAATTTTGAAGGCCATTAAAGGAGTGGTTTTGATTGAAAGGAAAGGGGGAGATGTTGGGATGTTGGGAGACACAAGACAGATGATGGTCTTTGGGCCTAGTAAACGTAAGAGATTTGATAACAGGATGCTTTGGCAAAAGCAAATGAAACTTTGAAAATTAGACCTAGATTGCAAGAAGATTCAATCAGACCAGTTTACCAGAAAAAGCAAATCTCATTAAACTCTGCAAGCAGGAGATGTTGTGATATGCATAAGTTTGTGTATGTGATTTTAACCTAATCACTGGTACTAGGCTCCCCTAAAATAGTATATAAGCATCTGTATCTCACAATAAAATCAGATTCTGATCACCAAATCAGCCTTCCCCATCTCTCTCCATCGTCAACATATGGACTCCTGTGCTATAACCCAATGGCATATGCTAATTTGCTATAAAATGGCTTAAGCCCTTACACAAAGCACTTTCAAGGCAGACAAGGGCTGTAAGAGCAGGGTTAAGGGCATCATGCAAGTCATTGCAGATGCATCAGTTCTGTTATCTGAAAATAGGCAATTCTGGGCTGAGAATAGCTGCTGCATTGTCTACACTGTCATGGAGAGTGGAGACTGCTTCAAACCAAAACTAAAACCAAAGGGTTCCTGGCAAGAAGAAGTGTGATATGCAGGCCCTAAATCTTGCACTTTCTGATGAGTCCAGATTCAGGCAGGTTTCTCTGTAGTTGTCCACAGTGAGGTTTGGCTCTGGATGAAGCATTCATAGGATGGTCCTGGACTCTGCAATGCATCTGTTGAGCAGGGGTCCAGCAACTTTTCATGGTCTAGGACCCAGCATCTCACGTCTCCATGGCTGTATGAGACTCAGCAAAGACACATCCATGTGTATTTGATGGTTTGTTTGTTTGTTTGTTTGTTTTCCCACAGGTCAATTGGTTTTCTGGGCTGGATTCCTTCAAAGAAGCTCATAGCTACTTTGCTTCAAAGAAGCAAAAATGAAGTGGTGTGTTTCTTATGCTGAGTTTTGATGTGAGCTCTAAATATGCCATGGGCTCCAAGTAAGCCATGGGTTCCAAAGGAGCCACAGGTTTCAAGGCACATGGAGAACTTCTCTGGCCAAATCTAAGCAGGGACCATGTCCCATCAAAGTGCTCCTAACCCAAAATTTGTTAATTCAGCCTGAAATAGGGAAAACTGCAACCCACAGAAAGAGATTTTTGTTATCACAACAGCCTGAAAGTGAGTCAGATTCATACTGCACTTGCCAGTAGGGCTTGCAAGATCACTGCAGAATCACAGAATGCAGATGGCCTTAGACCACAGATGGTCTTAGAGGGATCTCAAAGACCATCCAGCTCCAACTGCCCTGCCATGGGCAGGGATAGCTCCCACTAAACCAGGTTGTTCAAAGTCCCATCCAAACTGCCCTTGAGTGCTTCCAAGATGCACATTGCTGAGGTCCTCAGTGCCGGCCTGCAGTCCTGATTGTGGCCGCCTACACAGATAGTGCGCCCTTGGGCACAGCTGATGTGGGCAGGCTGTGCACTACACTCAGCTGCCAGGGTAGCCTGATCATGCTGGTACCCTGTGCCCTTTGAGCCAACCCTGATGACTCGAAGGTTCAAAGTCTGGGTGTGGTGTGCTGGGTCTGCAGAGGCAGCATGCCCAGATCTGCTGGCCCTGCACTGGGTTTGTTTGCCATGGTTCAGCTCTGCACTCATAGCTTGGCATGGTGTATCTGGATGGGTGTCCATGCCTAGT